TGCTGAAGACAGATTTTAACTTGGTCCTCCTGTTCCCTGGGTGAACAGCATTTTAATTGCTAAGTTGTGGTAAAGTGCTGTGCTTAATTATGGACTCAAGTATCTAATTTGTCAGTCATTGGTACTATTTGAAACCCTCTCTTGTTTTTACCATCATTCCACCAATGGCGCTTGGGTTACAGAGGGCCTTATCTCCTTGGACACATCTAGGCAGTGCTGTCACTTTGGAGTACAAAGCAGGAGAGAGAGGCATCATTAAACCTACATATAATTACTCAGGAAAATGTCTTAGAGGCAGCCACTTGGAATCTGAGAATTCTTTATCCATAAGTTGATAAGTTATAACCCATCACAATCTGAAGAGATCAACTCAGTGAGAATCTATTAATGTTAACACTATGTATAGTCCTGTGTGCTGATTTATGGGAAGGGTGCTGTAAAAAAGCAAGAGTTACTTTATTAGAAATCTGAGTTTTGTGGGTCTCTTCTCCCTTTTACCCTGGTATAAGAATGATTCTGGAAAATGTACTGATTCTGAAATTGGACCACCTCTTCCTAAATGTCCATTCCATTCAGCTCTTTGTTCTCATTGCAGTGAAATGCATTGCATATAAATGAAAAGCTGGTGTTAGTGGAGTCTTGGAGACTATGGAGGTATTGTCTGTCTGGCTGATGATCATGACTTTTTCAGTTGCTGCATTTTTCATAGAATCAAAAGGTCCTGGTGTTTTATTTCTGCAGAGGGAAGTAATAGGAAGCTCCAGAGAACTTTTAATATCAGTTACTTTAAAAACATTTAGTTATTTCTTGGCTAAATTTACAAAAATGTGGAGGAAAGAATCTGCTGAAATTAACACTGAAAAGTTTAGATGTTTCCTTTCTCACGGTGACCAGCGCATTCTTGAAAATTCTTACATTCCACAGAATTGAAAAATCTCATAGCAACTGAAAGATGTGTTAATGTTAGTCCCGTAAACCCATTTGGCATTAATACCCAGATGTCAGAAGCTCTTCAAGATGAAGAGAAAGTAGAAAGATCTCAGTTTCTCTCAGAAGAGAAGAAAAGCCTTGGTTGGGATCTTTCACTAACTCTTCCCTGGCCTCAGCAACCCTTAAAGTACAGTGGGTGGTGGGGGATGGAGATTCAAGAAGTCAGCATGCTGGCTTCCTGTGTGAGCCAGTTTGGGGGGTACCCCTTTTCAAAGTGGCAGGACGGCACACAGCCCAGCTTGAGTAATGACCACAGCTCTCTCTGGCAGAAGTGAGCTGCCAGGGCCAGGCCGGCGGCATCTCCCGCTCCCTCAACAAGGTCTGTTCTCAGATAATATTTGTGTGATGGTATCAATGTCAATGTGTTTGAAAAGAATAGTAAGTCATCAGAATAAGGGCTAATTCTGAAATTCTTTTGTCCGCCATACATACATCTAGATTCGTAAAAACATTTGGGTGGAATTCCATCAGTTTCTGTTTGTTTGTTCAATGTGTGTGAACAGACCGAAAACAAAGCCACTATTGAGTTATATAAATGCAAAAAAGGGATGGGAGTGAATGCTGGCCTTCTGGAAATGCTATTTTTTCACTTTGGGATGACTCCAGTAACCAAGTAGAATTTTCTGATACATTTGCCAAATAAAAGAGCTGAGGTTGAGAACTAGCATGAGATATTTTAAATTAATGTACGTTTTGGAGAGCAGAGTAAGAAAAGCAAGCTCTAAATACAAATGTAAAAGTTACATCTTGACTTTTCCTATGGAATCAGTGGTCACTTCTCACAGAAACAGAAACATTTGAAGGTTCACCATACATATAGTTCACTGGCATTACTCGCTTACCCTGAAGACAGTTGGAATATCACGGGCCTTCTGGATGTTGCACTGGCCCTGTGCACTGGCCCTGACCATATGAACATGCTTGTACTGTGTTTCCTTAATTTCCATCATTCTGTAATACCTCTTCCTCTGCACGATAGGAAAAGCAAAGCACCTACAAATGAAACTGCGTTTGAAGTTTCTCTGTATTATGAGTCTATAAGGGCCAAATTCTTAAGGCAGAAAGGAGTATGGTGTCTTGTTATATTTGGATCCATGCTGCTCCTTATTCCCTACCTAGTTTCCTTTGTAATTTACTTCTCCTATGCCTCCTCCACTCCAGCCCCCCTCTGATTATTTCAGAATAAACAGCGGGAAATTAGGGAGAGGTCTTAATGGAAAAGAATAAAGGTAGGTCTCTTTTACAGTCCTCAGATAAAGTGTCTTGATCTCTCTTTTATCAAAACATGTTACCCAAAGTAGGCACGAGCCAATGTTCCAGGACCCCACTAATCCCTGACCCACTGTGGCTGCCCTGCCCATACTCCTTTCCTGAGTCTGTATCCTCATGAGAGAACCAGCTGTGTAGCTAGTATTTCTCTGAGTCTGTGCAGCAATGACAAGACTGGTAATAACAGGAGGAACTTAGGAACTCTGCCTTTTCCCCTAGCTTCTCATGCCATTCCTCCAAGGGCCTGGCATCCTTGGTGTCCTTGCTTGCTCCACTGGATAATACCCAGAGGAGCCATTAATAGTAAGTTCTCTTGCTTACTATTACCATTATATGTCAGAGTGATGATATGCTCAAGGGTGTCTGCGTAGAAGTCCATCATTCCTTTTTCTCACATTTAAGGAAGAATATTAACTTTGAATCTGTTCTCGTTGCTTTTAGTATAATATTCAATAATTGGGGCCCTTTATTGTTAGCGATCAACTGTTTTTCAACTGATGTAGACCCACCATGGCTGAGAACCCCTAGCTTGGGCATCTGATGTCACTGTGGGCCTTTATTCTGAACCCACTTACTGTCCTTCATTTTCTGCACTACTGACAGGGATTCTCATTCATTCAGCAAACATGTTTTAAGCAACCAGAGATGTAAAGATAAAATGGCTCAGCCCTGCCCCTTAAGGGGCAAATCTAGTTGGGAAAGTAGATACATGTAAAACTAACCATGCTGAAGGATGTGCTGTGGTGGCACAAAGAACAGACTGCATGATACTCAAGGAGGTTCTAACTAATCTATAAATTCAGGATTATGATGTTGGAATTAGGCCTTGAGAAAAAGGAAAGGAGGAAAGAAAGCAGAGAGGACAAGATGAGTAAAAGTATGCATATGGTAGCAGAGTCTAAAAATAGGACACATTGAATCTGTCCAGAATGTAAGGTGCATGGATGCAGGCAGAAAACATGGAGGGGAGGGAGGGCTTGGACAAGATAGTCCAAAGCCTGGAAAACGGGACCAGGGATTCGGCCCTCTGTTCTATAGGCAAAGGGAAGCTACAGAGAGCATGTTAGTAGTCAGATGACTTGGCATGGTGGAGACTGGAGGAATGGGGTGGACAGAGGCTGGAAATCGAAGACCAGTTAGAGCACAGTTATGCCAATCCAGGCTGGAGATGGGGGAGTTGGGACGACAATCGACGGGTTGAAGACCAGTTACTTTCCTAGTCTTTGTATTGTCAAGACCAGCACCCAGGGTGCCTGACACACTGTACTCATTAAAAGTTGAACTTAATTAGACTAATCGATGTGGAAGACGAAGGGGAAAGGTGCTTAGCTTGAGATAACAAATACAGGATGGACGGGGGACAAGGGAATGGAAAAACTGTTAGGTTTGACATGATTTAATTTGAGTTGCTATTGAGAGCATTCGGTAAAGAGGTCTAGGAGATGGCAGGAGATTCTTCTCAGAGCAGAGAGATCTGGATTCTGAAGTCAGATCCACCTCTTGGGCATAGATGGATTTGGGAGTAATACTCTCAGCATCCATCCTTATTCTTGTTCTGTTAGAAAAGCTTCTCATTGTGTTTGTTACCTCTTCTGTCAACTTCCTGTACCCGAAACCCCATCCTGCCCTGAGACAGAAGGCACATGGGTTCACCTTTAGAAAATGCTCTATTTCAGTGAATCAGGTTCTCTCCCCAGGCTTCAGAACTTTGGTTTGAGACAAAGGTATCTTCTCACACAAAAGCATCTGACTGACCATGCAGACCCACTGCAGGCTGTCCAAGTAAGAAAACCCAGCCTCTTTGGCGTTCAGCAATTGCTTAGCATAACGCAGTGGATTGACAGTCAAGAGGCCTGGCTTACTGAACGAACGACTTAGACTCCACTTTCTCAGCTATCCCATGGAAATGACTTACCCTAGTGCAAGAGTCAGGATTTGTGCCAGCTTTCACTCCTGAACTAAAATATTAGTAGTAAGCTGTATTTCACACCCAGTCACAGTTGCCAGAATCACTTACTGATGTCCCTGGGGTTGCCCAGTTGTCTGTGAGAGCAGAGGATCTACATCTGTCCTGATGACAGAGCTCTGATTTCTGTCCCCAGTGCCCATCAGCAAGGTCTGCAATCTGTGGAGTATACCTCTACTGTGATAATCTATAAATTCAGTAATTCCAATTAAATTCAATATCTGGCATTGTAGACTTTTTTCATGGAGATTTTTATATGGTGATGCTATGCTATCAACCACATTTAGAAATACTAAACACCAAAATCTAAGTATTCATTCCAGGCTTTGAGTAATAAAATTGGAAAACAAAGACACATACAAAGAATCCACTAGTCTCACTGTGGTCATATACTCTGGGAAAATTAGTGTGAAAAATTGGAATTAATTGCTATGTTAATGTCACTGGGGTTCAATTATCCTCTGCACTGCCATCCTAGGAAACTGTATAAGCAATTCAGCGCATTGAATTTTGGCAGCTTTGGGAAACATACATGTTTTTCCCCCCCTGTTATTTTTTTATGTTCCCTACCCCCACCCCCTGTAGGACCATTCTCTAGCTGTTCCCTTAGGGAGTAGTTTTATGGGGAAGTTTCTTTCATAGGCCTCCAGCTGGCTTCGTTTTCACTATCTCCATGAAGTCACTTTCCTTGTCACGTTTGTATGATATTATCCATCATGCACTGCCTCGGAACTTCCCCTTGGATTGACTTACTATTTCTGGTTTGTGTTCACAGGCTGTCTCCTGGTTCCGACATCTACGTGACAGTCTCATCCATGGCTCTAGCAAGGTCCCAGCAGTGCCGTAACTCCCCGAGCAACCTGTCTTCATCCAGCGAGACTGGCTCTGGTGGAGGCACTTACAGGCAAAAATCCATGCCCGAAGGGTAGGTGTGCTGCCCCTTGCATGTGGCCCCAGTCGACATCACTGTCTTTCATCCATAATAAAGGAGCAAAAGGGAAAATGTGGTTAATATTCCAGCTAGAAGAATGTTCTAATGTCTAGTTCAAACCACTTCTCAGGAAATTTATCATTCTCTAGCCTTCAAGGGCTCCGTGGCAAAGACATCAAGTCACATCATTTTCTCCAGTTGTGTGCATTGTCTAGTTTCATAGTACAGATTGTGTTACATCCTCCAAAGCCAACTCCGTGGTGCTGGCTGGAATTCATGTTGCTGTTAAAGTAGGGGAAATGATCATCCTATCCAAAGCTTAAAAATATTTTTCTCACACTCTCAAAGTCTTCTGTTGTTTCAGCTTATGGGTGGTTTTCTTTTTTTTGAAAACACAAAACACCCAAAAGTAAAACTATTTGCTCCTGACACGACTTAAAAATAATAGGCTAAATGTACATGATGTTAGAGGCTACTAAAAAACAAAAACAAAAACAGCCACAACCACTCCCGGAAAGTCTGAAGCTGGGAAGTTATTAGCAGCAAAATGTTACATGGCACACGCATGCCATCTTTGCCCAGAGGAAGAGTAAAAGAACCATCAAAGACTTCCTGCTGGCTTATGTCTCTGGGGGAGTTGGTGGAGAACTTGGAACCATTTGAAAATCAAACGTGAGGTATTTATAAAAACTGATGTTTCTATTCTTAGTTTCCCACAAATATATTTTTAACAAATACATAATTTGATTACTTTCTTGAAATTTTACCCTGTTATAAAATAGTCATACTTCCTAAGAGTACCTTTATAATGGGTATTTTCTTAATCCTATAGCATTTTGTTGGTTTTTGCAGCTATTAAGTGTGATTTTGTTGTTGTTGTTGTTGCCAAATATTTATGTTAGCAGAAAGTAGGTAATGAAACCACTGTAAAATACGCTTCCCCCACCTGCCTGCATCCTGATATTCCCGGATTCCCCTGGCAGTATTTCTAAAAAGCACATGTCTTCTTTTAATTACTTTAATGACAATCAGAAAAAAAAAATTAGCTTTTATTTATGAGTTCCTGCAAAGGGTTTTATGAGTTAAGTATTACTATCATCCCATACCACAAGCTCAGCTAATTATTTCTTGTTTTAATTAGTAGATTTTAAATGGCTGGGTTTGACTTTGAAAATAAGAATTCACTGCAACTTCAGTGTTGGTACAGCAAGAAAACATAAATGTACTAAAACAGCAGCACTGTTTTCTTGTGACCGTGATACATTTTAAATGTCTACCAAAAATGAAAGCTGAACATGAGTGTTTTGGTGAATTTTAATGTCAGAAACATGGTTTCTGCACAGTGTTTTTAATGAGGTGGTATTTATTGGACCTGATACAAAACACCAACGCTACCACAGGTGGTATTGAGGGTTTCTCCGTTGTTGGCAAGGTTACCCAGTGGTTTACCATACAGTGTAACATCTTCTTTACCCCGGGGTGATTGGGGACAAGAAGGTTAACGATACAGTGTTCTCCCCTGGACCCTAGTAGTTCCTGCCTATACCACTGATGCAGGAGACTGTGGGCTTCTGATTTACATACATTGTCCATGGGCTGGGTTGGATTCTAAAGTTACCCTTATCAAAAAAAAGAGGAGTGCATCAACCTGCAGCATAACCCATAAATGTAGGTATGCACAAGCTGACAGTGGGGCAAGACCGTACATAATCCACTGCAAACTCAGTAATGCTCAACTCTAAGAAGCTCAGAAGTGTAGGGTAGTAACAGCAGATCAGATCAGGACACAGTTGCTGTCCACAAGTGTAATCTGCTCCTTCTTGGTCCTCCATCCACCTTCAGTGGGCCCAGTATATGCCAGGGGTGGGGGTGGGGGGTGGCGTGCTTGTCCGCTCCCTGTACTGATGCCATACAGATTGGTTGAGAGGTGAAGTTTCACAGGGTGACTAATAATGCCGTTCCATGCAGGTAGGGGGAAAGGCACCCACATGAGTTTAGGATGGCAACAAGAGATAAGTTACAAAGCAACACTGTTGAAAAGACAGAGTCTCTTCGCTTGTCCTTGCATCTAGATGTCTTCAGGCCTCCTCATGCTTTGAGGAATGTTGACTGGGAGGCAGACAAAGGCCGGAGGGAGGGATGGGCTGGGTAAACAAGGAGCTTGGAGATGGTGGCCAGAAGCATTACTGAGGGCATATAACCCAAAGACCCGACCGGCAGGCAGGCCGGCCACCCACTGTAGCTTTCTTCCAGCACCCATATAGGAGGAGGGAGGAAGCCTGTCCCCAAGAACCACTGAGACCAATAAAGGAAGGTTGCAGAGAAGAAGTTGCCAGCCCATGATGAGGAGAGGCAGTGAGCCTGCCCTGTAGAGCCATGGACTGGCTCGTGAGGTGTAGAGAGTTCATGGTCACGGAGCAAGCCTCACGTGCCAGCCTGATGATACATGCTTCTCAAGGCAGGGTTGAAAGACAGCCTTGCTTTATCGTCATTTAAGACCAGCCAGCCAGAAAAGCATTGGGCTTTAAAGCCAGAGGTTTTAAAGGGTGTCTTTGGTTTCCACTGCTACCAAAAAGGAAAAGCAAAATTAGAATCCCTGTCTAACTTTTATCTCTGTGCCTTTTTGTGAAAGTCTTCATTTATTGCAAATTTAGAATAAAATCATAGGGCCAGTTGGAGGCTGTTCACTGTTCTCAGCTAAATGAGGACCCTACTTAGGAAGGAGATGGCAAAGATCATGATTAGTGACTCTCCCCCACCACCCTTTCTTGTTATCATTGTTAATGAAAAGAAGGATTATTGCATCAAGTAATAAATACCTACAAAGATGCAGACAGTTTTAGTCATTTTCTTCCAGATGTTTGGATCAATTTACAGGAAAGGCAGAACTGAAATCTGCCTTTGGTTCCTTTGTAGGAACCACCTTCTTGTTTTTTAAAGAGCACCTTTCAGTGAAATTTTCATACATCAAGTTTTTCATGTATCACAGTGGAGGTTACTTGTTCAAGGAGGCTTGGATTGAATTTGTAAACAATTGTCAGTGTGCAGAAGTAATGAGGGAGATGTTACAGCAGGAGGTCAACATTACAGCCTTCTCTGCTTTGCAATGCTTTTGTAAAGATTTGTCTCCCCAGATCCATATCGTAGAATTGCCATTTTACAAATAAAGAAATGGAGACAAAACTCAAGTGACTTTGAGAGAGGGAGGGGCTGGAACTTGGCTCCTCCTCCTTGTCTCCTGCTCTTTCCAGGACATCACTAACTGTTCTCCCCATGCATTTCTCAGCCTTTAGCAAATAAGACACCTGTCATAAGCATCAATTAGCCTGGGCTCTGTTGATCTTTTATTGTATCGATTACTCATAAGCTCATTAGTAACCACACACACAAATGTATAAATGTCCACATGAGTCTTTGAATCTATGCTCTGGCCCATTTTCCTGGGCTCAGTCAGGATTTACCTACTGATACTGCTAATCAAAGCATATGCTTTAATTAAGCATATATTATTATTCTACCTAGAGTAAAATAAAACAGGCTCATGAAATAGCTAACTGTTCTTTCCAGAAGTAGACATTTGCCTTTATGTATGCCAGTTTACCTACTTCCAGATTGCCTTTCCCAAAGGCAGTTTAAAATTTATACATTTGGGGATCCCTGGGTGGCGCAGTGGTTTGGCGCCTGCCTTTGGCCCAGGGCGCCATCCTGGAGACTCAGGATTGAATCCCACGTCAGGCTCCCGGTGCATGGAGCCTGCTTCTCCCTCTGCCTGTGTCTCTGCCTCTCTCTCTCTCTCTGTGACTATCATAAAAAAAAAAAAAAATTATACATTTGGAAGTCTGTACTGTAAATAACACCTTAGAGCAGATGCTCCGAAAATACTGACCCCACAAATGAGTGACTTAGTGATTTAGCAGGTTACCAAGTTCAAAGAAACCCCCTGACCTGTTCCAGTCAGAAGATATACATGGAACATGAGGATGGTGAAATCCTTCCTTTGCCTGTCAATGAGAATCTGAGCTTGGCTACATGTGGGCTAGAAAATTTGGGTTTTCTTACTCTTTTTTTTTTTTAGGTTAGCTCGTGCTAATGTCTCCTGCCCTTTTGACAGTGTATGTACTGAGCATACATACCTTTCTTGAGCAGAGTGAGGTGTGTTGACCGTGACACAAACACAGGCGTGAGCATGCCAGTAGTTCCTGTTATTAGAGTTGAGATTGATGTCCCCAGGGCTGTCTTCCCCTTGTGGGTAAGGTCCCTGATATCCTCTTTGCCTTTGTTTGGGGGAATGGCCATAGGTTTGGAGTAAGCCGCAGATCACCAGCCTCCATCGACCGACAGAACACCCAGTCAGATATTGGTGGCAGCGGGAAATCCACGCCCAGCTGGCAAAGAAGTGAGGATAGCATTGCTGACCAATTGGGTAAGTAACTAATTCCTACAAGAAGCAAGCTGCTTTTATACCCAGGTGACTTTTGGCCACCTATTGACGATGTCATTAAAGCCTTCTGTGATAGAATACAGTCTTGGTTAATGTGAATAAGAATTAAGTCTCAGTTGGATTATGTATGAGTAAGGGCAGCAAATCCAGCCTGAGAGAGAAGTCAAGGAAATCTAGGTGACCCCCCCCCAGTTTGAAACTAGAAAGGGCATAAGAATTATTTTGATCACCGAGATTAAAATGCCAGACTGCCAAACCACATGTGTCCTAGGTATCCCCCTCGGCCCTTGTTTGTTTGTTTGTTGTTGCCTACTATAAGAAGCGCCCTGAGAGAATTGTTGGTATTCTTAATGTCAAGTTAAAAAAAAAAAAAAAAAAAGCAAAAAAGAGCTTTACAAAGTGGGAAAGAAATGCAGTTGCTGTTCAGTCACATCTGTAGTGTGATTAGGATCTCTCTCCTCCCTCCTGTGCTGTTCCCCCACCACCGCCGCCCCCCCCCCCCCCGCTCTGCTATTAAGCTGTCAGCTGAGGACATGTCTTGTAGTATAAAACAGCTGGATGGGAAAGATTTGCATTAGTGAGCTCTCATTTGGATTTCTGCATAGCCCTTTCTCTACATGCATTTCTTCTACAGTGACACTGTAACACTAGTTGATACCATAAACTTTTGCCATGAAACAAGACTAAGTCTCAGAACAGTAGCATCAAGGATTTAGTGTCAACAGAGTTGACACATCAGGAACCTGAATCTGGACTGTCGGGTGGGGAACCTTTATCCTATCTCTAGTAGCATTTCCACCGCACAGGTAAAAAGAAATAAATTTCAGGGCTGAAAAAGGTAAAATTTTAAGGCAAAGACCTATCTCTTTTATCTTTTTTGAAACTACATTATTTTGCTCTGTTTTAATGACTTTTCCCTTGTAAATGTACTAATAACCGCAAACGTAGAAAGGAGTGGAGACGTGTTTAGCTAAGACAGGAAATGAGGAGGAGAAATGTAATTCTCAGGTTCTGAAGATTTGCTTTGTTCCAGTAACTTCAGTGAGATGTGCCTTGTTACTGAAGCCATCTGTCATTCCCCACTGTCACAGCTCCCACCCCCAACATAGAAAACCTGAGCATTTTCCGATCTGCTGTTCTGCTCTTGACAGAATGTTTTTAATCCCATATGTTTTGATACTGTTGAGATGGTAACGACACATATGAAAAGGATCCCTTCTTCAACATGACTTTAGCAGCTTTTTTTGGCTCGTAGCGCGGGCTCCGAACAGAGCTGCCAGCAAGCCCTTTGTACAGCTCGGTGCCACACTTCCCACTCATGTGAAGTCACTAAGGTATCTTGGGACTGGAAAGGGTAATTATGAGCTTTGTCCTAGACCCATATTCATTCTTTCACGTAAACCTCCCTCCAGTCTTTTTTACTTTGCACCTACTCTCATTTGGTGGTGTCCCACCCTTAATAGATTAATAGATGAGACTCTGAAATTAATATCAGTGACTCTTTTTAACATGTTTGTTCATCCTTTTAGTAAGATACACCTTTTTTTTTTCTTTGAAGTAAGATATCCCAGAACCTGCCAGAGAAGCCTTTTTACCAACTGGTGGCCTTTCTCTATCCAAAATCGAAGGCTTCAAATAAAATGTTAAAATATTTTTTCCTAACTTTTTTTATTCCACCATTCTAGAGAAATGACCAAGCTTTCTCTAACTGGCACATCAGCCAGAATTTGGGGCTTGGTTGGTATAAGCCATGCTAGGGAGAAATCAAGAAAAATCATTGTTCTGTTCTCGTTACTTGGCACACTGTATACAGAATGTATCAAGGGCCAATCCTTTATACATTAAATTTGTAAGAACGATTCTCTAATGACTTTCAGGTCACTGAGTGAAAATGCTGAGGAGACTTTTATTTGTTAGCCAGACCCACCTGTCTTTGTACATCCGTGTGTGACAGACTGGTGCCCTGGTGGAAATGAGTTGAGCTTAATTGGCTCACCCATCTCAGCGGATTTCATTTTTCTGCCTCTGCTGTTGGAGATGGTTGAGAGTCAGAGTAAAAGAGGATGTCGCCCCGTCCTTTACGTTTAGGAATGGTGTTGCAGAAGTGCAGAACTGTTGCCGTTAGCTATCGGTGTGTTAAAGAAGCCTATATCGCTTACCTTTTACCTTTGGAACCCCATCTTGAACGCCAGCTTGGAGTCCAAAAGGAAGCAATTGTCTTAAGTAAACTAGTTGCTGTGTGTCTTTTCTGTTGTGCTTAGCTTACAGTTATAGAGGACCTCAGGATTTCAATTCTTTTGTCCTCGAGCAGCATGAATATACAGGTAAAATATTTCCAAAGTGTCCTGGTAAGTAACACGTGATTGCATCCGTGCCTGTCTAGGTAATGTAGACCAAGCTAGGTTAGCCATACTTGGCAATGAATGACTTTCATAAATATAATCCATATATTCTCAACTTGCCCCCAAAACCAAAAGTTGATTCCTAACTTTGCCGCGTTGTTCATGGCCTTTGGTTTGGTGGTACTTGGCTATGCTAATGTGTATGATGTGACACACTGTCACCAGCTGCAAGCTTTACCCATCAGCCACTTAGTTTCTGACATGCTGTCTATTGTGTAAACTCTCAACAAGCTTATCGCTGAAATTCAGAGTTTGCTGGTCAGTGACCTGAGAGATGCAATGGCAAGCCGTCTTCATTTGTCAACATGTGCTTGTACCCGTTTAGTGCCTGCACCATAATGTCCTGTGCTGTATTCCAGAGCCAACGTGCCATCTTCCAGCAGTATCAAAGGTACTGCCTGCGTTCCGAGAGAGCCCCAGTGGGAGGTTAATGCGGCAGGATCCGGTGGTCCATTTGTCTCCAAACAAACAAGGGCATGTAAGTTAACTGTAAAATAATAAAAATGACGAGATTCCTAGCAGTGTAGCGATGTGCAAAGTGAAAATGGCAGAGGTGTGCTTTGCTGTTTGTTCCACATGGTCAAAGAAGTCATCCTGGCAGAAAGTGGAGCATTTGCCATGACCCTGGAATTTCTACTGCCAGTGGCCCTAAGTCTGCTTGAAAATATACTCAAATTCCTCTTTGGTATGCACCTGCCACCCTCACAGATCTGGATGGAAGGCCATGTGATGCAGACACAAGCAGTCCTAAAATGTTGGGAACAGAAATGTGCTAAAAATGGATTTTATTTGCTTATACAGTTGTAAGCATGAGATATGGTTGGAGCATCAGTCAAGGGGACAGACAGCTTCCTGACAACTGCCCTTCCTGCTTCTCTTGTGTAGCTACACACATTTTTGTTTTACCACACCTATACATAATTCCTTATCACTTATGGGTAGAATTAAGAATAAGAGCTTTTGCTCTAGTAAAATGAATATGAAGCTAAAGAAACAGAGCGCATGCCCATGCCTGGGAAGGCACCTTGCACTAGGCTATGTGGTGAGAGATTTACTGAAGGAACGTGATGTTATCATAGTTCTACTCCTAAGTGATAAATTGCCCAATCTGTCAATTTCCCTTCCTTCTTTAACACTGAAGGAACATCATTTACTGATGACACGATAAAATAATATTTTGAATAGATTGGGTTAGATTAAATATATTCTTAAAATTAATTTCACTTGTTTCTTTTTAACTTCTTAAAGTCTGGCTACTATAATGTTTAGGATTACAAATGTGGTTCATGTTGTGTTCCTATAGAAATCTGTTACGTATTTCACACTCTCAGCATATCTCAGTTCGGACTAGCCACGTTAAAAGTGCTCAGCAGCCACACGTGCAAAGGGTCCACCAAAGCCCACAGCACAGATCCAGAGGTGAAGAAGTTCTGTCCTGCAAACATTAAAAATAAATGAAGGCCTTCTAACATAAATGGTGGTGTTGCAAAAAACTAGAGCGGCACCAGTAAAGTCACGGGTTAATTGGTTCTTGTTTAAGAAGACATCTTCAACTTTGAGGTGTAATGTTTGTGTCCTCTCCTACTGCTTCCCTTCCCCTGGGAAGAGCATGTCCCCTCCTCAAGCAATGGACACACACACTTGTAGCTCCTTCTCTCTTCCTTTCACTCTGTCTCCACCAGCTATCCAGGTGTCCTGTCTCCCATCTAATTTAAAATATTGTTTTATTCAGATACCTTTTGAAATATCATTTCTTTGGTGTAAACTATAGAATGTTCTAAACAACTAAGCCACTGTGTAGAAAGGGTTCTATACACATTTTAATTGAAATAATTCACATACCATAATATCCACCCATTTAAAGTATACAGTTCAGTGGGTCTTAGTACATCCACAGAGTTGTGCAACCAACACCATGATCTGACTGCAGAACGCTTTCATCACCCCAAAAAGAAATCCTGTATCCTGAGCCATGCTGGCTCTTCCCAAAATTCCACTCCAAGCACTTGACCACCGGTCATCCACCTTCCATCTCTGTGGACTTGCCTATTCTGGACATTTCATATGAGTGGAATCATACAACATGTGGCATTTTGTGTCTGGCTTCTTTCACTTAGCAAAACATTTTTAAGGCTCATCTGTGTCATAGCATGTATTAGTACTTCACTTCTTTCTATGACTAATATCCCATTGAATGGATATACCACATTTTTTAAAATCCACTCATTGGGTGATGGACATTTGGGTTATTCCTCCATTTTGGGCTATTATGAATAATGCTGCTGGAAATATTCATTTAGAAGGCTTTTCATGAACATATTTTTATCTCTCTTGAATAGATACTAAGATTGGAATTGTAATCATTTTCCCATAGCAGTTGTCCCATTTTACATTCCTACCAACAATGCCGACCATTATTTCCATCTGTCTTTTTGGTTAGAACCATCCTAGTGTGTGAAGTGTTACCTCATTGTGGTGGTGTTTTGTACTTCTCTAGGGACTCAAGATTTTGAGTATCTTTTTATGTGTTTGTTGGCCTTTTGGTACATCTTTGAAGAAATGTCTATTCAAATCCTTTGCCCATTTTTTTAATTGGGTTCCTTGAAGCACAAAAGTTTTTAGTTTTAATGAAATCCAGGTTATTTTTTTCTTTTATCTTTTGTGCTTTTGGTGTCCCATCCAAGAAACCATTCCATAAATAGGTCATGAAGATGGACACGTAGGTTTTCTTCTAAGGGTCTTAGAGTTTTAGCCTCATACATTTAGGCCTTTGATATTTTTTAGTGTATTTTTCTGTGTGGCAAGGATTTAACTTCCATCCTCCCTTTTGCATGCAGATACCCAGTTGTCCTAGCACCATAATTCTCCCCCTCCCCTGCCCAATTGTATTGATTTGGCACCTCTGCATAAATTTTACCTTGAAGGACTCCTTAGAAAGCTGTTTTCTAAATAGCTGCCAATTGGGGAAGGAAAAGGAGATCTCTTTGGGAATAAATCTTATATTCTTCCTTATATTTATTCTGAGTGGAGGACTTTTGGAATCCAGCATACTCTCCGATTAAGGTGATCTCAATACTATTGCTATTTTAGCCAAGTGAATGAAAAATTGATTCTAAAAAAAACCTATTTCTAGCACTCTTTGCCGTGAACATTCTGAATAGGCTTTTCCAGGCATCTCCTATCTTTGGTTTCTATCATTGGAATTTTTGTGCTGTGAGAACCCCATAGCCAGAAACATGCCATGGGGTCTTTGTCCCAGTATTTCTTCCTAGTGTTCAAGAAGCAAAACGTACACTTAGGTCAGTCTTGCTTCCCTTGCAGTCCGATAGCCACTACTCGAGCCACTCCAGCAGCAATACCCTCTCCAGCAATGCATCGAGTGCCCACAGTGATGAGAAGTGGTACGACGGGGACCGCACCGAATCCGAGCTTAACAGCTACAACTATCTGCAAGGCACGTCTGCCGACAGCGGCATTGACACCACCTCCTACGGCCCCAGCCATGGCAGCACAGCCTCCCTGGGGGCCGCCACGTCGTCCCCTCGCTCAGGGCCAGGCAAGGAGAAAGTGGCACCCCTGTGGCACAGTTCCAGCGAAGTGATCGCCGTGGCTGATCGGACTTTAGAGACAGAGGGCCTCGGCCTGGAACGGAAGACCGAGTCCTCCCTGAGCTTGGATATCCACAGCAAGAGCCAGGCCGGCTCAAGCCCCCTGACAAGGGAGAACAGCACTTTCAGCATAAATGATGCTGCTTCCCACACGAGGTAGGTGCCCTCACCTGCCTAGGCCATGCCCAGCCCAGCCCTGACCCGGGTTTCCAGCCTCAGCCTCATCCCACTTCCCTTCGCTCAACACAGTATGAAGAAGGGGTTTTCCTTGCACTGACTGTTATTTTCACGTATGCCTGGTATTTGTCACCAAAATATTTTTTTCCCTGTAATCCTAATGCATTATTTTCAACTGAGGAAGGTTTACGGATTTGGTCTATAAAAACTTTCTTTGTACCAGAATCAGAGAATTTTAGGACTCTGGCTTTCAGGTAATGATAGAGAATGAAACAGTCTTAAGACACTGAAAGAAAATCTTGAGCATATTTTTAAAAGAAAGGGATCTTTTCTAAGACTAATGCATCATTATTTATGATGCTAAACACATCCTTCACGCTGCCTCTCTGTCAGGGAACATCACTTAACCAATGCTTGCATGGTAATTCCTCCTCACGAATTGCCTCCTGACAGTGTGTGTTGAGTTGAGGGTGGGGTGGGGGGTGTCCAGTCTAAGAGTGCAGCTAAAATTAGACATCCCATCTACCTTTCCAAATAGGAAAGCACACATTCTCCTGTAGCCTTGGAGATCTTCTGATAGGCAAAATAAATAGCATTCTTCATTTCCTCTTTTAGATTTGAGCTCCAAATCCAAAATATGACAGGATTCTTCCTTTTTAAGGAAAAAATACTCCACCACTATCTTTCTGAGCCTATGGTGTCTGTGGTGGTTTCACCTTTTACCTTTTATTGTTGTCAGTCATTGATTATTTTTCATGACAGCACCTAACCTTGCTGTCTGCTGGGCTTCCTTTATTATCATGCCCTAAAGAAAAGTAGCAGAGAAACTAAATTTAGTTTTACTTTTCTGCTGGGAATCTAGGCACATAATCTGTCAGTAAACCCCAGATAATCTTAATAACAGAGGATGTACTCTGTTTAATTTGGATTTAACATGATCAGTTAAATATTCAGTCCTCTCATTGTGTCTGTACTGTTACTGATGAGATTCTTGAGCTTCCCGTCTGAAAATGCCGAGTTGGCGTTTGAAGCACTTCACAAGTTTTATTTCTGTTTACACTACCACGTTATCCATCTAAAAACCACATGACCCCCCCTCCCCCCAGCGTAAGCAAAAAGGCAATGGGAAAGTTGTCTTGGTATTCTCGAGTACCAGGCATCCAGTTCCCTTTCCACAATTAAGAAAATGTTTGCTTCAGATAGGTGAAGGAAGTTTTTGGGAAAGTAGAACAGAAAGCTGAGTGAAATACCATAATGATGTACCGTGGACCTAGAGTCCTGTGACAGAATCATGACAATGACTCGCTGTTGAGGACATGCCCCACCATCTCATCAGCGAATCCTGTGCCCTGACTCAGACTGTTTTTCAGTTCTGAATGGTTTCTGTGTTGTTTCTAGGTTTAGCTCAACTCCTGTCTTGTTGGTATTCAGTTCTTTATTTTGAAAGGAGGCTATCTTTTTAAGAATTATACTCCATTTGGGGATCTATCTCTGGTCTAATTTGATGGCAGAAGAAAGTTATGGAAGTCTTACCTGGAATAGCATCCTCATGAAGTAAGGTTGAAAAGGGTTGGACCTCTGAACCCAAAGCACAAGATGTCAGCTGTGCCACCTAACAAACCCCAGGGGATCCAGAGTTCTCCCCCCTGAAAAGGAGGCACCTGGGCTTACATCCTCTGAATGTGCTGACTGGAGCTGCTTGCAGGCCTCAAAGGATTATCTAAATTTTCTGCTTCAAACTGACCATGCAGAAATCATTTAAATCATCATTTGGAAATAACTCTTCTGTTGAAAGTCAAACTTACTGGAGAAGAGAAGAATGTGGCCTTTCAGGGAGGGTGGCAAACCATTCCCCCCCACTGATAGGTTGAGTCACATTCATTTCTAGACTCTGGTAAGCGAGGATGCTTTGTGACTTCAGTCTGTTGATCTTGGCAGAGTGAGCTGGATAATCAGAGCTTTAGCAGACTTCCTTCTCTGGAGGAAGAAGGACTTAGCCACCAAATGCACAGTGCTGGAGAAACTAAAATCACTGCAAATTAGAGTGTTTGTGTCCTCAGAAGACAGGAATAGCAATTAATGTGGAGATCTCTTGACAGTGCATAAAAGAGCTCGTACCTGGGTCTCAGTGACAAAATCTAAATTACAGTGATTAAGTTCCATTGCGTATTTCTGGCTGGGCCGTGTTCCTACCCTTCTGTCCTCCAGTCCCCCCCTGTTGATGATCGTGCAGGTTTTTTGTGGCACCCCAGGAGAACTGCATTAATGTAAGTTGGTAATTACACAGGGTTGTTCTGTTCACATGTCATTAAGAGAAGCCATACACACTGATAACTTCCTACAATTAAAAAGTCTATTAATTGCTCTGAAGTGTTGCTCCCTAGAATATGTATATATTTTCTGTGAAGTTTGGAAATGTAGGGAGAGATTTTTATTTTTTCTTGCAATGGCTATTTCACTTTCAGGTCTTAAACCCCTCCAAAAGAAAGGTTTATGGCAACCATGGGAGAGATGAAGACCATTCTAGTTTTAAAACATTCTTACCAGGGGCTCCAGGGTGGTTCAGTCAGTTAAGCATCCAACTCTTGATCTCAGCTCAGGTCTTGACCTTAGGATCTTAGGTTCAAGCCCCACATTGGGCTCCATGCCCAGCATGAAGCCTGCTTTAAAAAGATTGAAAATAAAAGTTAATAAAAATAAGACTCTTACCAGCTGGGCTCGTCTTAGAGTTCTGGCCTGGGCTGTAGGCAGTGCTGGTTTGTGTGGTGACCAGAGACTCCCTTAGCATAGTGTTCTCATCCTCCATAGCGAGTAGTATTACTGATGTCAGAACTAGATTCAAGACACACATTTTAAAGCTAAAAACCCCACCACAGAGTTGCAAAAACACATTTCTTCTGTAATGACCTGACCTGACCTGACCTATTTCAGCATCCAGGCTTCTACAGCCACCCTCACTTGCCAGCCATTCTGCTGCTTCCTTTTGATTCCTGTAGGCCCCCTTAGAGCTCTGTAGCCAGTGAGCACCTACCCGTGTGATGACGTACTTTCTCCCTGCAACCGCTGGGATTTCTCAGATAAGGGACACCTTATCTGAGGATTTCTCACCCGCTCTGTTCATCCTAAGCACCTTTGCATATCGAGTGCCACTGTGCATATAGTAGGTAGGTGCTCAGTACATCTTGGTCATCAAATAGGGAGAACTTGTTCCTTTAAGTTTCCACTCTGTTGCCTGATGACTCCTCAGAGCCCCCACTAATAATCTAGTTCAAAAAAGACATGAATCCTCAACTCCCGACTACCACTGTATTTCGTACCGTATAGATGTGTCAGTATCTGCACACAGTTATAGTGCTTTTATGTTTAGGTATATGTATATGTTTAAGAGTATACAAAAGTCCCAGTACAGCATGGACTTTTAGTAGAGTCGTCTCTATGTAAGATTTTTTTAATCTGCAAAATACAACCGGGAAGCATTTCAGTAGCTTATATGCAATATCAATCAGTATCTGGATGTAAGTTGGTCGGTGTCTGACATTCACTAGAAGGAGTAAAGTCCAGGGAAAATGCCTGCCCATGCTCATCAGTATGGTTCAATTTCATGAATGTGGTTTTTCTGGTTGACCTAATAAGTTAATTCTTCATGCCAGAAACGCTGTTATGTCTCTTAAGAATAGAGGTAAAGAAGGATTTCTTATATTTAGTTTATGTCAAACGCCAAGACGTGCCTTGGGCTTTTGGAGTACACTGGACCATCTGTGTGTGCAGTAGAGCTGGTGTGTTTAAATCTTGTTCTCTGCCCTCTCTGGTATCTGTATATGTGAAAACTCAGCCTTCTTTGTTTAGAAATTATCCTGTTGTCTTGATCTGTAATACTTCTCTTAAATCTGTCCTGCCTGGAATTTTTTTTTAATTGCTAACAATTAATTGCCTCTCATCGATACTTTTTTCTTAAGGTGAGAGTTTCATCTAAGTTATATGGGCCATTTCAGAATTTAAAAGTGCACCCTCTGGAATGATAAACCCAGAACCTATCTTCAAAACATTGTTGGCTCTGCTTATCGTATGTTTGTGGGTCATTTGCATTAAAATTCCTTCTTTGTGGTCCAACACACAATGGATATTCAGGATTATATTATATTTTGCTTTTATATAGCAGAACTTTAGGTGACCCTGTGCTAAGCTCTAGTGTCCCATTTCTTTCAGTGGGTGATTATTTTATCCAGAATATAGTAAGGTTCAGCTAACCTCAAAGGCGAGAAACAGAACCACTATGGTTGAAATTTCAAGTGAACATTGAGAAAGTGAGATCTCTTTCAAGCCACAGATGTCAGATTGCTCGATGCAGCCCTCACTGCCCCTAAGTTTATCACTACTTTGCTCAGTGATGCAACTAATTCATTCATCCTGTCAATATGAAAAGCCTAAATTCTCCAAATGCCATTAAATCATAAGGCCAAAAGGAATTCTGAAAGAACAGAGTCCATCCCTTATCCTATTAAAACCATCCTACCAGGATGAGAACTTGTCCAACTGCTTCAACATCGGGGAGAGGAGAGAGAATCCCAAAAGAGAGAGTCCACACCCTTTCTGAAGATTTCCAGTGCCGACCATGTCCTCTCCCTCCTCAAAACTTTGTCCCATGTCTCCATATCTGAAATTCCACTCGCTGCAGCTTAAATACACAATTAAGAGATAATAAATGGTTTCTCTGAGCTGAATTTTTTCTAAACATTAAGATTTTTGAAGGCTAAGATTATAAAATTTATAGACACCAGCAAGAGACCATTGGGAAAAAATTTTTTTTTAATTTTGTAACAGCCCTCTACCTCCAGGCAAGTCGAGAGGGATGTTGGGGAAAGTAGATTGGCATCCTGAGATGCAACTGCAAGTCCACTTCTGCCACTGACCAGCGCTCTGGCCAGTTGGGGCATTTCACCACACTTGTCCCTTATCTGTGCTCTCATAAACACCCTGCC